TTGCGAAAAGAATGTCAAGGCGGTGACAATATTGATGAGCAACTGTATTTGTTGGCTAGGCAACCATCGTGGCATATCCTCACATACCAAGGGTACGAGATAAATGGGAATACATTTTACACAGTTGCCCAAGATAAAAGGAGCACCAATCAAAATAGTGGTGTTCGCATAGATGGCACAGATCCAAATGGGAATATACAAACATATTATGGCCGCATAGAAGAGATATGGGAACTAGACTACGCACCTAATTTTAAAGTCCCTTTGTTCCGGTGCCAATGGGTGAAGCTGACCGGAGGAGGGGTAACAGTCGACAAAGAGTATTGAATGACAACAGTGGACCTCAACAATATTGGGTACAAAGACGAACCTTTCATCCTTACTGCCGATGTGAGTCAGGTGTTCTATGTGAAAGACATGTCTACAAAATCAAAGAGAGAAAAAAACTTAGACATCAACTCAATGATCAATGAGCCAAAGCGCCACATAGTTCTTTCTGGGAAAATAAATATAGTGGGAATTGAAGACAAATCAGACATGTTAAAAGATTATGAAAGAAATGTCCGAATTCCACCCTTCATAGTGAAGAAAGATCCAAGCATCATGTTAAATGATGAAGACACTCCATGGTTACGACAAGATCATAACCAAGGGTCATACATCAAGAAGAAATTCACTGTTGTGCCCGCATGATACAACGATGCATGTTTAATATATTATATTTTAGAGACGGATATTATGTAATATGTTATGACTTCACATTGTAATATGTTTAATATATGTTTCAAATTTCACAAGTGTGTGACATAGTTTCAGAAAGTCTATATGAGATTCAAGAATTTGTGACTAGTGTTTGATAAAATTTTCTCAAATGGGAAAATGAGCTATGTAACAATTGAAGATCTTGCTAAGATGATCAAACTTGGTATTGAGAATTTTTTCATCTGAGATCATTTAGTGTCTCATTTGATCAAGTTTGACCAAGTCAAATTTGGTCAAATGAAAAAACAACACTTTGACTCTAGTATTATGAACTCTAAATGACTTCAAATTGAAAAGTTTTGAATACCAAGTTTGTTAAAATCATCAATATCTACAATTGTTGTTTTGGTCAACTTTCCATTTGAGAAAGTTTGGACGGTTCAAATTTGTGATTTTTAAATTTCGACGCCTACAAACTAGTTTTCGGAACACTAGATTGTCTCAAATAGAAAAGTTTTGAATACCAAGTTTGTTCAGCTCATCAAGATATATAATCCTTATATAGGTCATTTTTTTATTTGAGAAAGTTCGAACAAAATGTAGTTTAAATTTCATAAGTGTGTGACATAGTTTTAGAAAGTCTGAGATTCAATAATTTATGACTAGTGTTTGATAAAACTTTCTCAAATGGGAAAATGAGCTATGTAACAATTGTAGATCTTGCGGAGATGATCAAACTTGGTATTCAGAGATTTTTCATTTGAGGTTATTTAGTGTCTCATTTGAGCAAGTTTGACCAAGTCAAATTTGGTCAAATGAAAAAACAACACTTTGACTCTAGTATTATAAACTCTAAATGATTTCAAATTGAAAAGTTTTGAATACGAAGTTTGTTAAACTCATCAAGATATACAATTGTTGTTTTGGTCAACTTTCCATTTGAGAAAGTTTGGATGGTTCAAATTTGTGATTTTTAAATTTCGATGCCTACAAACTAGTTTTCGGAACCCTATATTGTCTCAAATTGAAAAATTTTGAATACCAAATTTGTTCAGCTCATCAAGATATACAATTGTTGTTTTGGTCAACTTTACAGTTGAGAAAGTTTAGATGGTTTAAATTTGTGATTTTTAAATTTTGACGCCTACAAACTAGTTTTCGGAACCCTAGATTGTCTCAAATTGAAAAGTTTTGAATATTAACTTTGTTCAACTCTTTAAGACCTACAATCCTTATATAGGCCATTTTTTCATTTGAAAAAGTTGTAGAACAAAAATACTATATTTTCTTTATTTTTATAGGTTCAACAAAAATTTTCTGTCAATTTTGATCAAAAACCGAGAAAAAATTAAAGCATTGATGTTACAATAATGTGATAATAAATTTCCTATTGAATAATATTAGTTTTATTAATTTTAAGTTACAAATATATTTTTGCATTAACAAAATACTTAGTATTAGTAACATTTATATTCTATATTCATAAAAGAAATTAAAAACTTTAGGTTACAAATTTTTTATATTTACAATAAATAATTAGTTAATCAATAGTATTTTTTTAAATAAATATTGCAAAGTATTGAAGTTGCTATAGAATTAATTGATTAACCTAGTATTAAACAAGGAGAACCAAATCAAAATCCTAGGTCTTTCCAATTACTCTGGCGGGCTGCCAAAATTTTTAGGCCTTCAGTCCCGGCCCAGGCCAGGAACCAGGACTAAAGGGTGGGCAGCAATTTCGGTGCCCGCCCAAAAATACCTTTAGTCCCGGCTGGTAACACCAACCGAGACTAAAGCCTTTAGTCCCAGCTGGTAAACCGAGCCGGGACTAAAGGGTTGGACCTTTAGTCCCGATTCGGCTTACCAACCGGGACTAAATGGTCCCGGCCTATATATATCGAACGGTTCCTGTTCTATTCATCTTCTACTTTTCGATCTACACGTCGATCATCGCCGCCGCCACCGCCATCTTCGATCTCGCCTCCGTCGCCCAGCCCTGCTCGGCCGTCGAGCTTGTCTCTGCCGCGCCGCCGTCGTCGTCTACCCCCGCCCGACCCGCATCGCGCGCTGTCTCTCCGCCGCATCCCATCTCCGCAGCCGCACCCGAGCCCACCCTTCGTCGCCGACCGCTTCCCGCCCAGCCTCGTCGTCGAGCCCCGCCCGGCGGCCGTTGAGCTCGTCTGCCGCGCCGCGCCGTCGTCGTCCCTCGCCCGGCCGCGCCAATCCGCCCGCATCGATCTCGCCCGCCGTCTCCACCGTACGTCGTCCTCGCATGATGTGCTCAGCTCGGCCCCGTGGCCGGCCAGCACGCCCTGCCCGGCCCGTCATCCGCCCCAGCTAGCTTGCTAGCTAGCTGCTCTCGGCCATATTTTTTTACAAAGTTTCTAGTTTTTTTAGATTGTTTTTTATATATATGTTAGATTAAAATGTATGTTAAATTTAATTACTAGTTTATTTAGATAGTTTTTAGATAGTTATATATATATATATGTTAGATTAAAATGTATTAAAATTTAATAAGTAGTTTATTGTTAGTTTTTAGTTAGTTTTTAGATAGTTTTTTATATATGTTAGATTTAAATGTATTAAAATTTAATTAGTACTTTATTTAGATAGTTTTTTAGATAGTTTTTATTATAGTTTTTGATATATGTTAGATTAAAATGTATTATCTATTACTAGTTTATCTAATTTCATGTTAGATTTATTTAATTGGATTTAGTAATTATATATTCTATCTCTCTATATATATGTTAATTAGATTTAATTTTGATTTAGTAATTCTATCTATGTATATATGTTTATTATATTTAATTGGATTTAGTAATTATTATCATGGTTTAAAAGGCGTCGCCTAGTCGTCCAGGCGAGGAAAGTTGCTGGGCGTCGGGCTCGCCTGGACTTCCGCGCTTAAGGCGTCCGCCTTGACGTACTAGGCGTCCGCCTTGCTCGATTAGGCGTCTGGTCGTCGCCAAGGCGCCCGCGGCGGATGCCTTAACTCGCGAAATCAGGGGGGCGCGCGGAAAGAAGCGTCTTGGCAGGCCAACAAGGAAGAAGAAATCGCTCCCGTGCCGGGCCTTCCCGCCTTTCCGCTGCTGCGCGCGAGAACAAATTGAGAGGGAGAGATAAAGCGCAGGAGGTAAATCAGAGAGAGGGAGAGTAATTAGATTTAGAAACCAGAGGCCCGCCGCTCCGCCCCTTCTTGACGCGGCGATTCCCACCGGCGCGGCGTCAAATCTCGCATGAGTGCGGCACGGCCCGGCTGCCCCAAGACATCTCTCGCTGGTCGCCCCCTCTCTTGCAAAGAACGGATCCCGCCGTTTGCAGCTCGATTGAAGCCTGTCGGCCGCCAAATCGACTGGAGACCAGTGTCCACCGTCGCTCTCCGCTGAGCACCGGGGCCAGGGCTCGATTTGCTTTGCGGCCGGCCCCCAGCTCCGACCTGCTCACCTGCCTTCCCTCTGGGCACCTGCAAGCTGAGGTAGTGCCTCTCCTCTCTGTTTCCCTCCCTTCCTCTGTTATTTAAGTAGTCGATTGTGCTCGCTTGTGGTTGGATTGCATAAAAAAAGAGCACGCCACATGGTGTTGTCTCGCTTCTTGCTTGATACTTGTGGTTTGTTTTATAGATGCGGACTCTCTGTGCTCGCTTGTGGTTGGAATGCATTGCATAAAAAACAGAGCAGCACGTCACATGGTGTTGTCTCGCTTCTTGCTTGGATACTTGTGGTTTGTTTTATAGATGCAGATTGGAGTGGTCCACTCATAGTCTTCTTTGTGGTTAGAACATCTGGGGCTGTGTATTATATGTTGATTGCTCTATTTTATATGCTAATTGCTTCGATTTATGTGCTAAAGTGACTTGATTTATGCTAATTCCTACACCTTTATCCCATATTATACTGCTACTTTTCTCGCTAGTGTTTGCTTTAGGATGTCTTGTAGTGTCCTTTGCTCTTTGTTGAACCTGCTCGTTAGCCTATATAAACTATACAGAGCATTAACCATGCTATGTGCTTGGGTTCTTTGCCTTTTTATGCAGGTGAAGCACAATGGCAAGTCCACCTTCCATTTGCTAGCGAGTATGATCCCAAGAATGATCCAACCGGAAGCCACAAAAGACCAAGGATGCAGGGGTGGAAGTACGCCCTCTTGGCCAAACCTTAGCAACAAGGATGAGGTAGCATGCACCTTGTGTGGTGGGAGTGTTCGTGGAGGGATAAAAGGTTGAAGCAACATTTAAAGGTGGCTTTGGAGATGCAAAAATTTGTCCTAAAGTGAGCACTGAAATTAGGAAGGAGATGGCAGTTTTTTTGGAGGCTAACAAGAGAAGAAGACCTTTGTTCCTAGAGGATGAGGATGGAGAAGCAGAAGTGGTGGAGGTGGCATCAAGTGGGCCTCCTATAAGTGAGGCACAGCAAAATGAATCTTCTCAAGCCACCAAGGTTCATCCTAGTTCAGGGACAGCAGCTAAAAGAAGGCAATCAACCATACAATTGAAGGCTGTTGGTAACAAGACTACACAGCAAAAGACAAAGACCATTGCTGAGATGCTTCGAAAAACACCAGAAGAGGTGGTAGATGAGAGACTGTTAGGTTCTTACCAGCCCACAATTAATGCAGCAGCAAAAAGCCGGGAGGAGAAGCATTATGTGGATATGCAGTGGGGTTTGTTCTTCTATGAGTGTGGTGTACCTTTCAATGCAGCAGCCGCAAGACAATTTCAGATTGCAGTTGAGGCCACAGCTCAGTTTGGTTCAGGGTACAAGCCTCCAACACCTTATCAACTTGGGGAGCCATTGCTTAAAGAGGCTGTGAAGTCAACAAGTACCATGAGGGAGGAGCATGAGAGGGCATGGAAACAGTATGGCTGCACACTTATGTCTGATGGATGGTCCGATAGGAGGGGACGCCACTTGATTAACTTCCTAGTGAACAGCCCGGAGGGGACATACTTCTTGGAGTCAGTTGATGCATCAAGTGAAGTACATGATGCTAAGATGCTTGCTGATCTGCTAGAGGAAAGAATTGATGACATTGGAAAAGACAAGGTTGTCCAAGTTGTTACAGATAATGGTGCTAACTTCAAGGCAGCAGGCAAGCTTTTGATGGAAAGGATTCCTACAATATTTTGGAGTCCATGTGCTGCACACTATTTGGATCTCATGCTAGAGGAGATTGGGAACTTGCCAACATTCAAGAAATATATTGCACGTGCAAGGCGCGTTACAACTTTCATCTATAGGCATGGGAGGATCCTTCATGCCATGAGGGAGAAGACAGGTGGGGCTGATCTTGTGAGACCTGCAGCAACTCGTTTTGCAACTTCCTTTCTTACTTTGAAGAGTTTGTACAAGCACAAGGAAGCTTTGAAGGCTTTATTTCATAGTGAACAATGGATTGGGAATAAATTGGCAAAAACCAAAGCAGGTCTAGATGTGCAGGCCATTGTGTTCTCTACAGAGTTCTGGAACAAAGTTGAAGATTGCCTTAGAGCTTCAGCCCCACTTCTCATTGTGCTTAGGGTGGTTGATGGAGATGAGAAGCCAGCAATGCCAGAAGTTCAAGCATTAATGAACCACGCAAAAGAGAAGATCAATCTGAGCTTTGCCATACCATCCAAGAAAAGGTTGCTTGACAAGATCATGGAGATAATTGAGCGAAGGTGGGAAAAACAAATGGATCATCCACTCTATGGGGCTGCATTGTTTTTGAACCCAGGGAAGCTCCATCCTCTCATAAGAAAAAATGATGATGCAACTGTTGGACAGCTAAGAGGTTGCTTTCTTGATGTACTTGCAAGAATGGTGGAGGATGAGGAAACTAGAGACAAGATCAATGCTCAAGCCATGGATTATGAATTTCTTCGAGGAGATGCTTTTTCAAACAAAATGGCCCAGCAAAACCTTGAGTCTTTGAGCCCTCGTAAGTGTTGTGTTCTTCTCTTTTAATGTCATCAAGTGTACATTACAGCAATTTAATTCGAGCAAGCTAGCATTTTTCAATCCCAGCTCCTAACATATGATGCATTTGTTGTTCTAGTTGATTGGTGGCATTCATATGGTGGCCGTGCTATTGAGCTACAAAGGTTTGCTAAGCGTGTGGTCAGTCTTTGTGCTTCATCATCTGGTTGTGAGCGCAATTGGAGCACCTTTGAATTTGTGAGTTTTTCCCCATCTGTCATCTCCTTGCTGTTCTTACCAATATTTCAGCAAGCATTTTATTCATCTTTTTGGTGTATTGTGTTTCTTATTTTGTAGATCCACACAAAGAAAAGGAACCAGTTGTTGCATAAGAGGTTAAATTCTATTGTCTTTGTTTCCTACAACCGAAAGATGAAAACTAGGTTCCAGAAATTGAGGCAGAAGAAAGGTAAAGGCTTTGATCCTTTGGTTGTTGAGGAGTTTGATTGGGACAATGAGTGGGCTAACTCACTGCATGTGCCCCCTCATGGTGCTCGTGGCTGTGAGTGTGACCTTACATGGGACCTTGTTGATGAAGCTATTGGAGCATCAGAGTTACTTCGTGGCAGAAATTTACCAAGAACAGCCCACAACAAGCGTGCTAGAAATTCTGCACCTATTGGGGTTCAGGAGGAGCTAGGTTCAGAAAATGAGGATGAAGAAAATCAAGATCCCTACGATGACGCAGATGTGATAGATTGTGAGGATGATCATTGTGATGCCAATGGTAGTGGAGGAGATGAGGAGGCAGCCAACATCATTGGAGAGTTTGATGATGGCTATTGAGAGGAGGGATTTCAGATTTCCTATGTTGCTATTTCATATATGATGCGCACTAGCAGCGCTACTAATTAAGTCATGCCATTAGAGACTAGTTTTTGGCTACTAAGACATTTCAGATTTGCTCTTTTGCTACTTCATATTGTGCACTAGTAGACTAGTACTCTAGTAGCACTACTTATCATCCTTATTATGGTCTAAAACTATGTATGTCTGCTAAGAATTGGTAATATTAAGGTCTGATTTGCTTCTGAATTTTAGTGCCATTATATATTATGATATTCTTATGGCGTCGCCTAGGCGTCTGCCTTGCTCGCCTCGCCTCGCCTTAACGCCTTTTAAACAATGATTATTATTCTATCTCTCTCTATATGTGTTAGATTTAATTTTGATTTAGTAATTCTATCTATGTATATATGTTAGGTTTAATTAGATTTAGTAATTAATTCTATCTAGATATATGTGTGTTATTATATTTAATTGGATTTAGTAATTATATTCTATCTCTCTATATATATGTTAGATTTAATTTTGTTTTAGTAATTGACACATGCATATTTTATTAGTAATTCTATCTCTATATCACATGCTTCCGAAGCCAAATGAATTGCCCACCACTATGTACAAAGCAAAAAAGGTTGTCTGCCCTTTGGGATTAAAAATCTAGAAGATATATGCATGTCCTAATGACTGCATCCTCTACCATGGCAATGAATATGAGAATTTGGATGAATGCCCGGTATGTAAAGCATCGCGGTATAAGATCAGGCGCGATGATCCTGGTGACGTCGAGGGTGAACAACGTCCTAGAAAGAAAATCCCTGCCAAGGTTATGTGGTATGCTCCTATAATACCACGCTTAAAATGTTTGTTCAGAAATAAAGACCATGCAAAGTTGTTGCGGTGGCATAAAGAAGACCGTAAGATAGACAATATGCTGAGACACCTAGCTAATGGGTCTCAGTGGAGAGTGATAGACAGGGAATTTTCAGAGTTTGCAAATGAGGCTAGAAACTTAAGGTTCGCCTTAAGTACAGATGGTATGAATCCTTTTTGGGGAGCAGAGCACTAGTCATAGCACTTGGCCAGTTACTCTATGTATCTACAATCTTCCTCCATGGTTATGCATGAAGCGGAAGTTCATTATGATGCCAATCCTCATCCAAGGTCCAAGGTAACCTGGCAACGATATTGATGTCTATCTAAAGCCATTAGTTGAAGAACTTCTAGTTTTATGGAACAAACCAGGTGTACGTGTCTAGGATGAGTACAAACAAGAACACTTTGACCTACGAGCAATGTTGTTCGTAACAATCAGTGATTGGCCTACTTTAAGTAATCTTTCAGGTCAGACAAACAAAGGATATAATGCATGCACACATTATTTTGATGACCTTGACAGTATATATTTGAAAAGATGTCGAAAGCTCGTGTACCTTGGCCATCGTCGATTCCTTCCTTTGAATCACCAAGTAAGAAAGAAAGGGAAGCATTTTAAAGGTAAGCCAGACCACCGGAAGAAGCCTCATAACCGAACCGGGGAAGATTTACTAGCAATGGTCAAGGATGTGAAAGTAGTATTTGGAAAGAGATAAGGCAGCGAATATGTTCCCAAAGATGCTAAGGGACACGCACCCATGTGGAAGAAGAAGTCCATCTTTTGAGAGCTACCCTATTGGTAAGTCCTAGAGGTCCGCAACGCAATCGATGTGATACACCTGACAAAGAATCTTTGTGTAAACCTGTTAGGATTCATGGGTGTGTACGGGAAGACAAAGGATCCACTTGAAGCATGCCAGGACTTGCAGGGCATGAAAGAACGAGACAACCTTCATCCAGAGAAGACAGATGATGGACGTCATTACTTAAGTCCTGCTAGCTACACGCTTAGCAAAGAAGAGATGGACAGCATGTTCGAATGTCTAAGCAGCATCAAGGTCCCATCGGGATTCTCCTCCAATATAAAGGGTATAATAAATGTGTCAGAGAAGAAATTCCTAAACTTAAAGTCCCACGACTGCCACGTGCTTATGACGTAATTGCTTCTAGTTGCTTTAAGAGGAATTCTACCTCCACATGTACGTCTAGCCACCGTGAAGCTATGTGCATTACTCAATGCAATTTCTCAGAAGGCAATCAATACAGTGGAACTAGCTACTCTACAGAATGATGTGGTTTAATGTCTTGTTAGCTTTGAGTTGGTGTTCCCTCCATCCTTCTTTAATATCATGACACACCTCCTAGTTCATTTGGTGAAGGAGATTAGTATTCTTGGACCTGTGTTCTTACATAACATGTTCCCCTTCGAGAGGTTTATGGGAGTCTTGAAGAAATATGTGAAAGTCCGTTCTAAGCCTGAAGGAAGCATCACCCAGGGCTATGGAACAGAGGAGGTCATTGAGTTCTGTGTTGACTTTATTCCTGACCTTGCCCCGATTGGCGTTCCTGAATCGTGACACGAGGGGAGACTCAGTGGTAAAGGAACTTTAGGGAAGAAAACATATATCGGCATGGAAGACGATTATTTCAATAAAGCACACTACACATTTCTTCAGAACTCGTCATTGGTGCATCCGTACATCGAGATACATAAGGAGTTCTTACGATCCAAGTTTCTAGGGAAGACTGAAGCTTGGATTAGGCGTCAGCACATGGAAAGTTTCAGTGGTTGGTTGCGAAAAGAATGTCAAGGCGGTGACAATATTGATGAGCAACTGTATTTGTTGGCTAGGCAACCATCGTGGCATATCCTCACGTACCATGGGTACGAGATAAATGGGAATACATTTTACACAGTTGCCCAAGATAAAATGAGCACCAATCAAAATAGTGGTGTTCGCATAGATGGCACAGATCCAAATGGGAATATACAAACATATTATGGCCGCATAGAAGAGATATGGGAACTAGACTACGCACCTAATTTTAAAGTCCCTTTATTCCGGTGCCAATGGGTGAAGTCGAACGGAGGAGGGTAACAATCGACAAAGAGTATTGAATGACAACAGTGGACCTCAACAATATTGGGTACAAAGACGAACCATTCATCCTTGCTGCCGATGTGAGTCAGGTGTTCTATGTGAAAGACATGTCTACAAAATCAAAGAGAGAAAAAACAAAGACATCAACTCAATGATCAATGAGCCAAAGCGCCACATAGTTCTTTCTGGGAAAATAAATATAGTGGGAATTGAAGACAAATCAGACATGTTAAAAGATTATGAAAGAAATGTCCGAATTCCACCCTTCATAGTGAAGAAAGATCCAAGCATCATGTTAAATGATGAAGACACTCCATGGTTACGACAAGATCATAACCAAGGGTCATACATCAAGAAGAAATTCATTTGTTGCCCTGCATGATACAACGATGCATGTTTAATATATTATGTTTTAGAGACGGATATTATGTAATATGTTATGACTTCACATTGTAATATGTTTAATATATGTTTCAAATTTCACAAGTGTGTGACATAATTTCAGAAAGTCTATATGAGATTCAAGAATTTGTGACTAGTGTTTGATAAAATTTTCTCAAATGAGAAAATGAGCTATGTAACAATTGAAGATCTTGCTAAGATGATCAAACTTGGTATTTAGAATTTTTTCATCTGAGATCATTTAGTGTCTCATTTGATCAAGTTTGACCAAGTCAAATTTGGTCAAATGAAAAAACAACACTTTGACTCTAGTATTATGAACTCTAAATGACTTCAAATTGAAAAGTTTTGAATACCAAGTTTGTTAAAATCATCAATATCTACAATTGTTGTTTTGGTCAACTTTCCATTTGAGAAAGTTTGGACGGTTCAAATTTGTGATTTTTAAATTTCGACGCCTACAAACTAGTTTTCGGAACCCTAGATTGTCTCAAATGGAAAAGTTTTGAATACCAAGTTTGTTCAGCTCATCAAGATATATAATCCTTATATAGGTCATTTTTTTATTTGAGAAAGTTCGAACAAAATGTAGTTTAAATTTCATAAGTGTGTGACATAGTTTTAGAAAGTCTGAGATTCAATAATTTATGACTAGTGTTTGATAAAACTTTCTCAAATGGGAAAATGAGCTATGTAACAATTGTAGATCTTGCGGAGATGATCAAACTTGGTATTCAGAGATTTTTCATTTGAGGTTATTTAGTGTCTCATTTGAGCAAGTTTGACCAAGTCAAATTTGGTCAAATGAAAAAACAACACTTTGACTCTAGTATTATAAACTCTAAATGATTTCAAATTGAAAAGTTTTGAATACGAAGTTTGTTAAACTCATCAAGATATACAATTGTTGTTTTGGTAAACTTTCCATTTGAGAAAGTTTGGATGGTTCAAATTTGTGATTTTTAAATTTCGATGCCTACAAACTAGTTTTCGGAACCCTATATTGTCTCAAATTGAAAAATTTTGAATACCAAATTTGTTCAGATCATCAAGATATACAATTGTTGTTTTGGTCAACTTTACAGTTGAGAAAGTTTAGATGGTTTAAATTTGTGATTTTTAAATTTTGACGCCTACAAACTAGTTTTCGGAACCCTAGATTGTCTCAAATTGAAAAGTTTTGAATATTAAGTTTGTTCAACTCTTTAAGATCTACAATCCTTATATAGGCCATTTTTTCATTTGAAAAAATTGTAGAACAAAAATACTATATTTTCTTTATTTTTATAGGTTCAACAAAAATTTTCTGTCAATTTTGATAAAAAACCGAGAAAAAATTAAAGCATTGATGTTACAATAATGTGATAATAAATTTCCTATTGAATAATATTAGTTTTATTAATTTTAAGTTACAAATATATTTTTGCATTAACAAAATACTTAGTATTAGTAACATTTATATTCTATATTCATAAAAGAAATTAAAAACTTTAGGTTACAAAATTTTCATATTTACAATAAATAATTAGTTAATCAATAGTATTTTTTTAAATAAATATTGCAAAGTATTGAAGTTGCTATAAAATTAATTGATTAACCTAGTATTAAACAAGGAGAACCAAA